GAGGCTTATAAAGTTATTTGACAAGAGCCAAAAAGAATGGCCTCCTATTTCCCCCGCCCCCAACTAACATGTCAGCCTCCTCCCACAACACGATGACCTGGCTGTCCGATGTCTAATCTGGCAACCCAGCCTGGCATAGAAACTACAGCAGACCCATGTAAACATGTTTTATTTTTGTTTATTTGCCGAAATAAACATTGAAAAAAACACTTTCCAGACACTGATCTTGTGTAAACAGGGCCTGAGAAAGTACACCCTCACATRGCACTTTGGGTTTCCAGAGCCCATTCTTGTGTAAACAGAGCTTTAAACTGAGGCAGAATTCTGTAAACGACTACAGCTCATGGATGACCTGAAAGAACAAGTGGCAGAGTGTGGACTCGCACTGAGATTCTGCTGAGTCATCCTTTAACACTGAATGAATCTGAATAAATGATAAAACCAGTCCTGGGCTCTGGGCATTTAATATCAAAACACTTATTCACAGGTTATCAGTTAGTTTTCAGGATCAACAGCCAGGTCAGGAAATTTAAAACCACGAGAAACATTTTCCAAAAACCCAGTGTAATCTGAGCAGTGCTTGTCTAGAGCCGAGCACGTTCATTAGTCCTAGAGCAGCAGGAAAACCTCATTAATACTGGGATGATAATAGGACTTGTGAAAATTTTATTTTAAAAAAATACATAAATTTCCATTCCAGCATGAATTTTTAAAATAATATTTAAAAATGTGGTTGGTGAAATACTTAAAGCATCTGTGTGACTGACAAAACACATAAATCTCTCAACCATTTATTGCAGTTGATGCAGTTTTTTGCGATGTTATTGCACAGGCTGTTACTGCAACAATAAATTTGACATATTGTGCAGCCCCRTTTAGTCAGAAGGTATCTTGCTTGGAGGTTTTTTAATAAAATAATTTAAAAATAATTATAACAAAAGTTTTAAAGTCATGAATTGTATGAAGTTTGTGGTTTCAGTTCTACTACAGCCGCTGTGTGGTTGCATTTTATTTTTAAATAAAACTATCATGTTGGAATGAGAACTTATGCATTGGTTGCTGTTGTTTTGCTCTCAGAGCAGAAAGACATCAACACTGCATACTTAAATATTTATTTATTTATTGCAAGCCATATCATCATTGCAATATTCAGCACTGTTACTTTAGTTGAAGTTTAAAAGTTGATCAAACCTAGGAGGAAACAAACTAATAAATCCTCAGAAACAACAATGAGGTGTTCAGGAAGAGTCTCAGATTCTAYCACACTAAACTGTATAACAATATCTGTAATTTAAGCCGACTTATAACCATCTTTGTGTTAGAGTAACTTACACCAAAATTAACTTTTTTTAGCCGATAAACTGTCTAGAATGTGTCTAAAATGTTATATAGTACTATTTCTGTGCTAATTTTGATGTTTTTGTGCGTATTTGTTCAAATCTGTAATATTTGGTCTAAAAATGTGTTTTTGCTGCTCATATGGGTAGAGCAGTGGTACTGCAGGCTAATTTGCATATTGGTTAACGGCTCTCCGCTGTGACGTGGTTCTCCACAGTTTCGTCACAGCAGCTGTGTTCTGGTATAAAAGCCTCTCTCTAAGACACGCCCCTGCAGCAGTCAGAGRGTGGAACAGTTAGCAAGCTTAGCATGATCGTCTGTTGACCTTCAGCCTCGGGTGGGGAGAGCTGACTGCTGCGCTGCTCTCTCTCTCTCTCCACACACACACACACACACCAGCAGTACGTCCTGCACAGCGGGAGGGGAGGAGGGAAAAAAGGCAGAAACACAGCGGGGCAGCTGCAGCCCTAACGGACCAAACTTCAGTCAAACAAGACCCAACACTTTTATTCCTGATTTAAACTAGTGATCTTGTGAGCAGCTGCAGCTGTATGCTTTTATTTTTTTATGTCAGGCTGTCGCGGAGCGCTCGTCCTCCTCTGTCCGAGGCTGGTGTGGTGTGAGGCGGACAGCTCAGCCGAGGCTGCTGGAGCTGGAGCTCAAGGTCCTGATCCAGGGAGCCAACACGAATTAGTCCCAGACTGAGCTGACTTGATCAAGTCTCTCTCTGCCTCTGGTGAGGATGGGGGTGAAAAATCCTCCACCTCAGACCGTTCAGAGATGTAACTATCTGCATCGCTGTGGTCACTCTCCATGTAGCATCAATTATGCTAATGCTAGCTGTCGCGTTCTCTCTTCCTGGCCACGCCTCCGCTCTCTAACCCCCTYCCCCCTACCCACTTTGATGCATTTTTCAAATTTTGCCTTGGGGCAGAGTTATCTTTTCAAGGTGGGGGGGGGGGGTAGATAGACTTTAAAGTCAATACCCATGTTAACCATTGTAATGGAACTAATACTTTTGTTTAAGCTAGTAATTCATGACATCCTTTAATGACCTAGATTTTCATGACATGCTGTTCATCTGCAGATAGAATGATTAAAGTCAGAACAAGGTCTGCTAACAACAGTCATTCTTAGATATCACTTGTGTTTATTATTGACCTTGTATCAAATCTTGCTAAGATGACATAATGGTGTTTGTTAATATATACAGTATATGAGGCCTCTCGAGACACAGTGAGTAGTGTGGAGAGACAGTGACAGAGAGACGCAGAGGCACAGAGACAGGCCAGGTTGTTCTCTGTGTTTCCTGTTGTTGTAAAAAAAACTCAGCTGATCATCCCACAGAGTACCTTCATTCTTGGACCACTTATTTCTGTCTTTGTTAAATAAATATTGCCACAACACCATCTTGACTCAGGCTGGATGCAGATCTACAACTCATCAGCTTTTGACTGGTACACAAAAGATATTTTGCTCCCAGACAGTCAGACACTGACACACACTATCACCTTTGAGCAATAAGGATTAAAAACTTGATTTACAACTTCCACACAATAAACTAGCTTTAGATGTCTCATCTGATCAACTCATGTCTGATACGCCCATTTATCCCAGAGCAAACATGGAGCATAAAGCAAGCAGGACTATGACTTTAAATCAAACATACATTCAGCTCCTGAGAACTAACGGGGTTAAAGCTCTGTCCATCTGTGGCTTATATTCAAACACCTACAGGGACAATTCACATCTTCTCAGAGTCGTGTGGAAAAATACAAATTAACATTTTACCAGTTGCAGATAGCTTTTCGAATGACCTTCGCTTGGAAAATTTGAGTTTATTTTTGATCAAACTGATACACTAAGTGAGTGAAATGAGTCAGAATGAGCTGCAATGTGATAAGAAAAGGTTTATCAGTGAATTTCAAGAGCATTTCCTGCGAGAACATCAGAAAGGTTTCCACGAATAACTATATTGTGAAACTAACTCGATGGTAAAGAGTTTCTGTATGAACCACAATGGCAACAATTTATTATAGTTTTGACTCAAACTAGCTAATTCATTAGCCAGGTCATAATTTAACCCTTTTTTTTTCCAAATTGAGGTTGTTCAAGAAGCCATCTACAACAGGTAAGATGCTAACCGTTTGACTTATTTCAAACCGCAGTAGAAGAWCTCGACATGCCAAACAAAACGAGGACATCCCTGTATAAAACTACTTGGCGGTTGAACCTGCGTGATACTAAAGGTGTTTTAGTTTCSATGTTTAATCCTGCGTGAGGATTTTCTATCTGGATCAGTGGGTTTTCAGCCTGTTTGCTTTGCAACAACAGTAATCGAAGGAATGTTCTTTATCGAAGAACAGAAGCAAAAAAAAAAAAAGAAGTAAATAAACGACTCGTTTCATTTTCCAGACTGATCTGAAACGTGAGCTCCTGGAGACGTAAAATGGATTTGTGTTAAATTAAAAAAGGAGGTGGTTCTGGCTCTCCGGGGAAACGTAACGAGCTGCCTGGTTCAGCCGTGGCCTTTTAGTGAAACCACAAACCTTTGAAAACCTCGTGGGAAAAAAAAAGTGCAGGATCAACCTTCGAAAAGGTTAGAAGCATCAATTAAGAGAACGGCGGGTTGAATAAAGCTTGAAGCCCGTGTTAAATGGGAATTATTTCTACTTTAATCCCCCGCCGCTAAAATGTTAAAAAGCAAAAAAATTGGATGGATTTTGGAAATTTTCTTTACACACATTCCCTGTGTTTCAGTTAGCAAAATATCTCACATTTCACTGTAGGGATTAAAACACATTTTTCATGAAATAATCACTGGATTTACATCACAGGGTCAAACTGAACCCAGATGGCCGCCACAACTTATCAACTTCAGGAAACAGAAAAATGTCAACAAYTCAGACAGTTTTGCAGATATCGAGCTGGGATTTGACAAGAAAAAAAAGTCATTTACAGCACATACTGTGAGGATGATTAATTAAAATATCACGTGAAATTGTGCTAAATGTTATTTTAAGACAAAGCGGGTACATATTTGTCATTTCAAGGAGTTCTGTCTAAAAATAGAAACTCCACAAACTTCAAAGCAACCAGGACCAGATGTCTGTCTGCTGATGAGAATTCACACATATATATTTATTTATTTCCTCCTTAGGTCATAAAAAAGCAGAAAAGTTTATCTTTTGCTGGGAACATGACCCAAATTAATGTTTTATTCCAAGACACAGTTTCATTTCAAAGTTTAGATCTCTAATCCCTATGAGCTATCAGAGGGAGGAAATAACCTCAATTATATGATTACCAAAATAAAAGCGGATGCATTAAATTTTTGAATGAACAACAATTTGTGAGGAAAAATATAATTGTATCAGTGTGATACTAACGTTCATATCTAGTGTTAATAAAAAAATGGACAAGTATTTTGAAATAATTTTACGTGGAAATATAAATCTTCATGACTATTAAGCAGTATTCTGACATGTTTTACAGAAACCGGATGTGTGTTTTTGCTGAGAACCAACTAACGAAGCGAACTGATGATAATCTTTGTCGTTTTTGCTCAGAAGAGCTAAATAAAGAAAATATAACTGCTGGAATTAGCTGCAGCAAGTCGTCTCCGCACGTGAAGAGGAAAAAATAATAATTGAAATACTTACACGTATTTATTGTTACATTCGCCATTGACAAAGAGGACCGCGTCTGCCTGGTGCTGGGAAGTCCAACAAACCACCGTAGTGTCCGAGAGCAGACACTGGTCAAATTGCCGCAAAGGAGGGACCAGATGGAAAGACGAACATATTTCCTGCCTCGCGGAGAGCGGAAACGCCTAGTTTAAAACCTTCAACGAAGAGTAGTAGCGTACCAAGAAGAGCGAGAGGATTCACCCACGGATACTTCCGGCTTCGTTAGCATCGCCCGTAAACACGCGGGTTTTTATCCCTCAGGGCAGGGTTATTTAGKAACTAAATTACTCCAGGGGCCACAGTTACTGCAGGCCAACAGCTCAGGGTCCGAATATCTACAACATCTATCATTATGTAAATAAACCAAGTATTAAAATCATCTGTTACCTTTGAATTAGTCTATTTTGATACATTTTAATCGTGAATACAACAGACAGAGCCCAATGAAATGTTAGTAGTACAATTAGTTTTATCTTAACTGCTTGTAGTTTTAACTGTCTTGGATGTTCATAGAAATGTTTTTTTTTACCAGTGTCTAGTCAAGATTCTGACATTTCTGTAGATATAACATATTTACGTCTGATTAAAAGAACTTAGTAGAAAACCGGGGATTTAGGCTTAAGAGAGTAATGAACCAATTGGCAGGCCAAACTTTGGGCCATCATCTGAATAGCCCTGGTTTGTTTGTTTGTATAATTTATTTATTTATTTATTTGTTTGTGTGGAAATTGTGAGCATTTGTGGCTGTTGAGCAATTGCAGGGGCAGATCTACAGGGGGGCAAGGGGGGGCAACTGCCCCTCTTTTGTAGAGCCTTGCCCCCACCCTGGCCGCCTCCCACAGCAGCCCCCTACTTTTATGTTTCTAAAATATTTGTAATTACTAACTGTTTTTAGTCCAAACGCCCATCACAACCTTTAAAATCAATATTTATTTACCAAAAATATATAATTTTAACATAATCTGAGGCCCCTGAAAAGCTTACGGCCCTGCATCATACACTGCCTGCCGCTCCGCAGGCCGAACATGTGTCACAGTTTCTCTAGCTGATGTTTTAACACAACTGTAAAGTTAAGTTTGCAATGAAAGAAATATGATTGACAACGGCTGAACAAATAATGATAAACAATCAAGGTTAAATGACACGAAGCAAAAATATCACCCCCTGAAATCACTGTTAGGAAAAACTGACTCTGACATAAAAGTTTCTAAAATAGCTCTCACATCAATTTCCATTTTTAAAAGGTTGTTTTAAGGTCATAATGAATAGATGGTCATAATTCAAGTTACGTATTTCTTTTTTTAATTTGAGGTTATTCAAATAACTATCTACAACAGGTGAGACCATTATTGTTCATAACCTTTCCACAGAACCCCACTTCAAAAKATTYTCCAACAAATCCACTGAGTTTGACTGTAAAGACAATCTTTTATACCTATGTTCATAACTGAAAAAAATTAGGTTTTAAATTGAATTCTTCCTTTATTCTATATGGTTTTCAGTCTGTAAACAGGGTTTATTTAACCAGTCGTGGAGGTGCAGTGTTTTAAATACGACTTTAATAGAAGCAACTCTCCATTCTTGTGTAAAYAATGTCAAAATAAATCTGATGCAATTCATTAAAAAAAACTGTGAACATAAAGTTCTATGTGTTGCTGCAATTTCAGTTGCGTTATACTGCAAGTGTGGAACGGCGATGTCATCAGAGCAGTTCTCCTTTTTTTTCTTTCTTTCTCTCCTCCGCTCACATTTGTGCCGAGCAGCGTGAAAACAAGCTCGCTGCTGCCGGTCGATGTGGAGTCCTTGATTTTGTTGCCTCCTTCTCTGTCTCTCTCTCATCAGTCACAGTGCTGACCCCGTCCTTCCCATCTGCTCCTCCAACAGGATTATTGATCCTCCATCTGAGGAGTTCACCCGTCCTGACCTTTGACCTCTGGGAATATGGACATCAGGGTGGATTTGTCAGGAAAATCGTGACTTTATAAATATAATAAATATGCAGCGAATGTGTTTTTTTTAACAGATTAGATGCTCAGGAAGATAACAGGGATGTTTACATGTGTTTGAACTGAAAGAGGTTTTGCTTTTGTTGACAGCCCAGAGGAACAAACAGCGAGCAGATGACGCCTCATGAGTCACCCTGCAGGGCCACAACTGATCAGTTGTACTGCCTGTATTTTCTGTTGCTTTCAGGTTTAATTTGATAATAAAACGAGTACATGTCAAGGTAATAATAGTTTTGGATTTTTCATTAAGTTTAGTTTTATTTTGTTGTGACTTTTTCTCTTAATTCGTTTCATTTTAATCAGTTTTTAGAATGGGTTTGCTAGTTTTTATTAGTTATTATTGATTTTTTAATGCTTCGTTTTAGTTTAGTTTTCATTTGTTCCAGCATTAGCTTTTTTATAGTTTGAATAAACATATTTATGGAAGCCATAGATTTTTTCCCCCATGGTTTTCTCATGATAACTATATGGCTGTATCTGTTCAAATTTTATAAGTCCACAGTTTTTTCTAAAATCTAAAGCAGCTTTAAAGTTACATTTCAGAAATCTCAAGATTTTGTGGGAAGGTTTATGAACAGTTAATATCATACCTGCTGCAGATGGCTCTTTAAACCATGACTCTTGTGTTTTGACTCAAAGAAAAAAAGTTCTCCTTTTTTTGGTACCTTAACCTTTGCTTTAAACTTATTTAATTCTCTTTTTATAACGTGTGTCAAATCAAAGGTCTGTGAGCTAAAAGTGGTCCACCACAGTGATAGATAGATAGATAGATAGATAGATAGATAGATAGATAGATAGATAGATAGATAGATA